AACCTTTTTAAAATCGAAAAAGTAATAACTGTGAAGATTTTGGCATGATTTAAAAACAGACAGAGATATTATTAGGTTTTCGAACCGAATGTTTCTAGAAGCGTTAATTAATAGATGTTTTGTTTCTGTTTATTACTATTTAGAGGAATAAAGTACACATTTTTTATGCTACTTTTTTATGTCTCGAAGTTTTTTTTTTTTATTCTATTCTTCATATCTTCTTCATATCGTTACCTTTCATTTGTATAAAACATATTTCCTAACACCATCTCGGCTGTTTCATTACTATACTCGATTGCAATTCCAGAGAAACCATTATCCCGATGGAGAGAGCCTGTTTGCATCTAAATGCACGCCAAATGGATGCCAAGCTCACAGCGCAAACGTGTGTATCAACATCGCCAACTCTTGAAACGTTTCTCAGCCTTCTTTTTTCTAGCTTTCTTAAATCATGGGAAATGAGAACAAAATCTAATCAATTTACAAGCAATAAGAATTAATAAAAATGATATCTAATAATTGTTACAAATATATGTCGCATTTGAAGAAACTGATGAAAGAACATTAAATATGGTTTCTTTCAGACAATTTTCTTCTACAGCGAAACAAAAGTAAAAATTTTTTATCTCACATTTCATTTGTTAAAAGCATGTCAGCATAAGGCGTGTCATTTTTAGTGGTCCAACCAAATCCAATGATCTTGCAATGTACATATAGTTGTTGCATTTTTTTACGAACGAATGTTCTCCTTATTTATTGAAATACGTCACCAAATCTACAATTCTTGTAAGACTTCGAAACTATAACCCTTTATTTTAATAATTCTATGATATAAATCGAAAACAATAGTACGAATTAAATTTCCATCAGATAACGAAATCAAACGGAACTACATGCAGTAGCGGATGAATACTTAAATCCTATACCGTTATGCTTTTTTATAACTTGTAACGGAGTATAAGCATAATCATTACTTAAAATTAGATTATTATGAATCTGTTATTGCGCCGGCAACGAGGTTTCTACATTTTTTAAAAGTTTAAAGTATGAAAGAATTTCCTTTTCTCTGACATTTCTCTTGTCATTTGCCCTAATTTTCGTGCAAAATTCTGTAATCATTCTGTATCGTTCTCAACAAAATGTCAAAAATAAGGCGCGTTTTGAGGTCAAAATTTCTATTTTTAAACTTGTCATACTAATCTCGAGTGTTTCTGTCAGCTATGGCATCTTCTCCATGCACATCACAAACGTCACGAGCAGCTTTTATTGTAGCCTTAACACCTTGATTAAAGCAAAGAAAGTGGTGTTAAAATTCTCCTTTTCCTCAACTTGAAATTACATTTTAATGATTTCAAAATTAACATAAATAAACTTGAACAGAAAAAGAAACTTTACGGTAGAAAAAAATATCTACTTTCAAATTATCTAAAAAATTTCAAAAATATTTAATGACATGCAAAATATTAAAATTTTAAAAAAAGAAAAAACGGTAGAAGTTAGTTTCTAACCTCAATATCTAGAGTTTAAACTTTATAATTTCGTAGTTACAGTAAAAATCTTCGTTCTTAATTTTCTACGTGTCATTTTTAATTAATCTTTTTATTAAAACATTTTAACTTTAAAAAACATCTATTTATCATGGTTTAGTTTTTATTTATTAAAAAAATAATAGTTTCTGGTATTTATTTTAAAGTTATCTAAAACTTAAGCCTTTTGACACTATAACGAAACTTGCTTCTTCAAAGAAATGTTTAAACATTTGAATTGTTTAATGGCTTTTTTTAAGTGCACATTAAAGTTGAAGAAAAAGACACGAAAAAAAATAATAATTACTTTTTTTAAGTCATTCTAATGAAGATTACGGTTTTTAACAATCTGAGCAAAATAGAAAAAAAAAACGAAAGTAATTTAGTTGTTTTTTATAGTGTTTCAAAAGTATAAAACATAACGATGGTTTTAACGAACACTTAGGATTACTGATTAAAAAATAACTACGACAAACTTTTTTTATGAATATAATTTGAATCGAGATTAGATTCTTCAGTAAAAAAATAGATAGCATAAACAGATAGCTTTTCAAAATGACATTTGTTTTTACAAAAGCAATCCGTTGCTAAAAACAAAAATTTTGTTTGTTTGAATGATTAAACTACTAAGGATTTATTTTTTAAGAGAAAAAAATTTATTTGTCTTCTTCAACAAAATTTATCTCGGATATCAATGCTAATCGTACTTCATTTTCTTCTTTCATTTGTGATTTTTGTATTTACATAATCTAACGCCGAAAAAAAGGTAAAAACAGAAATAGTAAATTTCCTTTTTCTTCTTTTGAATATTAAATATATCTTTCATTTAAGCCGATAAAAGTAAAGCTTTTATTTGCAAAAACTGTCTTTTTGGTATTTTTTTAACTTCATTTTTCTAGTGAAATGCATAATATTTTATGAGAAAATTGACTTAAATAGATTGGAATATAAATATTTTACTCTAAAAAACGAAAAGAAATTGGAAAGAAAAATGAAAGCATATATTGCAATGCAGTTATTTTGTTTATATATTCCAGGATCACCAGCAATAATAACCGACAAAGAATGACTTTTCTCTAAAATATTTTGAAATTATTTTTAGATAAACCTTAACTAAATAGTCTTAAATTTAATTATCTATATCTCATACTTATAGTACCTTATACATTATATTATATAGTCAGTTTCATTATAAAGTTAATTTAAAAATATGTCGTTCTTTCAGTTTGAAAACTAGTCATTTTTGCATCGTTTCTTCTTTTAGCACACAGTGTAAGAAATTTGGGATCAAATTATGATATAAAGTACCGGCACTTTGGGTACATCATCTATAAAATCCATTTTACCGTAAAATCCGTAAAATCGTAATTTTTAGAGAAATTGTTTAATTAGTGATTCAGTTATTTTACGGTAATTATTACCGTAAATATCATGGTATATCAGTTTTTTTGTTCCGTAACATGTTCCAGTGAAAATGGATTTTGCGGTAAAGAAGTGCCATATTTTTTTCCGTAATTTGATCCAGACTTTTTTGCAGCGTACATTCATTACAGTAAACTTACTTACTGTTATGTTTTCATAATTCATTGAATCGGATAAATAAAACCTCTTCTGCGAATTTCGGAATTCTTAGCCCCCTTGTATGGTCAAGACAGTAAAATTCTTTGATTTTGAAAACGATAACGTTTTGTAATTTTTACATTTTATTGAATAAATTGGCTTACTAACAACTTTTCTTATTTTATAGGTTTAAGTAATTCAAAGTAAGTTGATATAAACAAACAATTGAGTACTTTGTTTCTCACAAAACAGTCCTAAAGACTCTGTTTCTCTCTGCACCTCAGTATCCACGAGCCTTTATCACCAGCAGTGTCTTTATCACCAGCAAGTGGCAAAAATTATAAATAAAACATATTTGCTCTGGATTTTTTTATAAAACGCAAGATGAATATAAAATAAATTTGTTAGTATATGATCTCGTGACGATCATACAGTTGAAAAGAAAAAATAATAAAGTTTTGTAAAAAAGAAATTGTAAAGCATGTGCTCAAAAATAAGGCTAAAAACTATTACACAGATATAACTTCTGATTATAAAAAGCCAAAAATGGAGTTGGAATGATATTTTTAAGGCTAAAAACGATGGTGATAGTCAGAGAGAAAGAAAAAATTATTCAACGATTATCTGTACTGAATCATCATTGCCGACAATGAGAATGAAGCTCAGTCTTTCTCTTCATATCTGTCTAGTGTCACCACTATTAGGGCATAAAATAGAAAATATCATTCCCACTTGGTGTAAAGTTTTTTTTTCATTAAAAAGTACAATTCTATGGGGGGAAAATAGCTGTCGCCATTCAAATATTTCAAAATTCTATCACTTTAACCATTTAAAAACTGGATAATGGTTTTATTTTCATTCTTAAACGCGTGTCTTATTAAACCTTTTTACTAAATTTTATTCCATTCTCTCATTTTGCAGTGAAACGATTCCCCATAAAACGCCGAAATCAAGCATTAATGACTGTGGTCAGTAAGCCGGTGGGTGACTACTTGGATCAGTCTGTGAAGTTTCATGAATGCAGTCTGTTTGCATTCATGAAACGAGGGTGTGTGGTATTAGTCCTCGTTAAATGGTTCTACTGTAAAGTGTTCGGCTTAGCTCGCAGGTCGTTGCCAACCAAAACGGAGGAGCTACCCCCTCTGCAGAGGATTGAAATTCTTATTATATGTTTTCGGATCGTCCTCGGGTATGTTTTCAAGACAGTCGCCAGTAACCTATTGTGCAGCTTTAGTACGACGTAAATAAAGAACCTACCAACCTCTCATATTGAGAACATAGGTTCGCCAGAGACCAAATGTGTGCAATGTTGCATTATAATCATTTTTTGGGATGGGTCATCTACAGTTTTTCATATTCTCCATCCGTAGTGAAATCTAACAATTTTAAATAAATAATCAATTGATTCACTTATTCAGGTCAATAGAAAAAATTCCTTCAAATTTTTACAGTTAACACTGGAAAGACTGAAATACCTATATTGCCCAAAAGCAGTCAAAACTACTACATTGTGAAAGAATAACTAATCTACAAAAAAATTTGTTTAAAATTAATTTTTAATATTTTTGATATTATTTTCAGTTATATAACAAGTTATTAGTAATTATCAGCAATAAAAATGAATTATTGGCCATAGATGGCGCCACTGAAAAATAGGAACAATCGCACCCCCTCTGCCTAAACAGGCATACGTCAACAACTATAAAAAAATTTATAAAAGTCACAAAATTCTAAGAAATTGTGTCATTTTGTAATTAAAATGGAAAAGCAGTCGAAGTAACTTCTTTGGGCAATCTAGTGTTAAATTTAAAAATCTTTATCTTTTAAATTTAAAAGACTTTATATTATTTATTCACAGCATTTTATAGTGACTAGTTAAAGTTGCATCCTGTAATTTCTTATCTTATCTGACAGGTGAAGGATGAATGGAAGTATGTTGCTATGGTTCTCGATCGTCTCTTCTTATGGATGTTTACGGGAGCTTGCGTTATCGGTACAGCAGGCATTTTTCTACAAGCTCCTCTGATCTACGACACTGATCTACCAATAGACGTCATCAGCTCCAAAGTGGGTCATGTTCTGGACGTGTAGCACATAGTCTGCGAGAGGAATCAAAATCATGATGTGTTTCGTGTGTTAAGAGCCAAGATAAAATATGATGGCTGTCAGCATTTAATTATCCTCCTCATATGTCAACTGATGAAAATGTGATGAATTATCATCCTTAGGAGAAAGACTAGATAATGATTTTAGTTTGAACATGGTATTAGGTTGACAAGAAGCTAGATTTTATGAGTTTTTATTTATTTTTATCCAGGAGAGATTTTTGTTAAGTTTTATGTATGAAAATATTACTTGTGAGGTTAAAATTGTTGCTGTCTCCTAATGTTGAAGCATACATTCTCTAAGAAATATGATAAAATATGATTTATTAATAAAAATTTATTTTGTACAATACACAAACATTTACAGTTGAATAATTTATTTAAAAAAAATGGAACTCCAAATAAGAAAACGAATATAAATATTTTTAAGGAGTCAATTAGAAGTATGCAGGTATTTACAAACGCTTTCATATTAAATTTTATTTTAAAAAAACGAGGCATATCTTGAAAATTTTCGGATTACAAATTTTTTCTTCCACAATTGGCTGTAATGTTGTGTGAGATATGTAAAATAAACCCCGAAATATCTTTTAATTTAGTGGTTGGATTTTCATGTACCAATATACAATCTGAGTGATAAGATGGTCTAACCTTTAACTGTAAGATTTATCATTAAATGCGACCTAAGCTAATAAATCTCACGAGCAAGATACGGATGCCTCGTTGTGATTAAAGCATCAACAATCTCACCGGAGATTCAAGCAGAAGCGGGTTCGTTGGCACAAGGCCCAGAGTTACGTACCCGAGGAACACCACAATTGCCTCGATGAAGAAAATATGCTCGTGAGTCTCCATCGGTCACTCTTTTTCTTTATTAAAACTTCAAGAGTAAAGCGCTTATGCAGCAGTCAATTGTTGACTAAAAAAGGTCAAGGAGGGTAAGGCCTCAAAGTTCCAAAAAAAATAGCAATGTGGGCAGCATTATGCACTGACCACTTTGTTTTCCAGACAAGCTTGTATCCTTCTATGTGAAGCTGCGTAGATCTACAAGTTAGAGAAAACAATTTTAAAATAGTGTGCAAATTTATTTTATTGCTTAAATAGTTCATGAGTTATAGCGAAATGCGTAACAAGGATGACTAACATTAAGCTGTCCAAACTCTGAAATGTTCTCTTGACTAAATTATTGGGACCATATTTACCAGATAACAGTTGGATTTTCTCTTATATCTTAAGGGTAAAAAAACCAAATCATTCGCTAAAAGTCATGTTTTTCAAGGAAAAAAAACAAGTCTTGAGTCATTTACTGACTGTACTTTAGACCCACGAACTATTCAGATTTAATTTCAATTCCTGAAAGCCCAAATACTGGATCAAAAATTATTGTGACATCAATCAAACATTAGTCAAATCACCTATTTTTTATTTTGTGTTATTTACAATGTTCAAGTTAGTTTTATGTTTATTTAAGTATATAGGTATGTAAAGCTTCCTTACACATTGATATTAGGAGACAGCAACATTAAATAAAGTGTTGTAGAATGAGAAAACAGTTTAAAACTAATATTTTAGACAAAATAATTACTTTAATAAATCTTTATTTAAAATGAAAAGAAAATGTTAACACTAATGATACTCGTAACGTATTTGCTAAAAGGAAAAACACTATCTAAAATTCTAATTTTTAAAAAATTGTTAAAATCATGTTTATTAAGAGTCCGTGTAATTCTAATGCAGTTGGATTGGATTTGATGTGAAATTTTTATTCGATTAAAAAAAAAATGCTGAAATAATTATACAGTTGAGCATTATTTAAATATAGTTGAGCATATAATTATTATAGCAAGCTATTTAGCACATCAAAAAAATTTACTAATATTTGTTTAACATCATTTGATTTTTTTCTCTTTGTAAATAATTTAATTTTAAAGGAGACAAGTAATCCACAGGTATTTAATTGTCTAAACTTAAAACTTTGCTTTGAATGTGTCAGTATGCAAACCATGGACTTACTTTTTCAACTAGAGTAGCATGATTTTTAACCTAGTGCTCCATAATTTAGCAGTTATTTGATTACTTAAACAAACTTTTTGCATAAAAATCAATTTCAAAAATTTAAACGCATTATAATTTTTTTATTTAAAGATTCATAGTTTGAGTTTTTCTATTAGACAAGTTTAATTGTTCAGATATTGAGTTTTTTTAAAAAACAAATAACAATTTAAATAGAAAAACTACATTTCATAGTTTATTAATTGGTTTCTACAAGTGTAAAACATGTGAATTAAATATTAAACTTGTTTATTTTGAGCAAAAGCGCTATTATATGAGTATTATTTAAGGAAATACATACGTTATAGCTTTTTTTTTATAGATTTTATAATTACTTTTATTACTACCGTAAGTCGTAATAATCCTTTTATGATATTGATACATAAATGTTAGAAAAAAGTATCTTTTAAAGTAATATTCATATAATAATTTTAAACGGAAACAAATAAAAGGAAAACTAAATTACGCATTTTCGAAAATTGATTATCACGAAGTTAATTTCAAAATGAAAGCTACATACATGGTTTTCATATGATGAATAAAACTGTTGTAAATATGTATATAGAAAAGATGAAGCTAAATTATATTTGTATCTGAGAAAAAAGTGCCAAATTTGAAGAAAACAAATGCTAAAGGAAAATGTTAAAATTTAATTATGAATTAATTCAATGTTAATTAATCCAAATGCTTAAATTCAAAATTAATTTACCCATTTTTATATTTAGAATAAAATTTATTTTTAATCAAACATTATTAATCTTTAAGAGGCACCTAAATTAATTTGAAATTTTTATGGAAATAAATAAACAGCATTTTTAATCAGCTTTTAATAAATGCAGTTTATAATTAAAATTTTAAATTTTTCGAGTTTATTTAAGCTTTATGAAGTTATAAATATAAAAAACCTTCTTGAATGTACAAATAGGTATTTGATTAAAAATATTTTGATACAAGAGGCTCAATCTGATATTTTTAGTCAATTGTCGTATATTTAATACCAAGTTTGAATATTTTAATCCAACCATTTTTTCGATTGAAAATTTTTCACATTTTAATCACAAATTTAAAAAATTTTTAATCATTTTCATAATTTTTTTATGTATCGAAACAAAATAAATATAACTATTGTGAAAATGTTGACTATCTAGTGCAAAATTTATCGATTGCATTTCTTAAAAAGATCTAATGAATGTCTTTGATTGAATATATAAGAAAAAGAAGATAAGAATGTGTAGAGCATTGATTGTATTAAAATATGATATTAAAAATGATAGATAAAACTCACAAGTTAGAAATTATCGATAAAAAATCTCAATTTCGATACTTCATCTAAATCTACTGTATTTACCTCTAAATCCTATTTTGAATTCTACTTTTACTAATAATTTATGACAGTTTGGCAAAAAGTTTGGATTTTTTATTTTAAATTTACTAAGAAACTTAATGTTTTAGTAAGAGAAAGTTTAGCCAAATATTCAAATGTTCAAGCAACCTTTTACCAAATAATGAAATGAAAGTTCAGGGGAAATTTTGACAAATGATCAAATGTTCTAGGGAATTTTTATCAATACATGTTTCTAGATAACTACATCGTAAAAAATTCCAAATCAAATTACAGTAAAAATTAGTGCTGAAAGTTCTTTGAAATCCCGAAAAGTGCCGGCACTCAGGGTGCCAATATTCTTTACTATAAAAGCCATTTTTAACGGAACTTGTTCTCAGAATAAGAAATCTGATATACTGTATTTATTATAGCAATAATTGAAGAAAAATCACGGAATCACTCTAACTAAATAAATATTACTGTAAAAATTAAGATGTTATATTTTACAGTAAAAATGGATTTTGCGATTGATGCACCCTAAGTGCCAGTACTTTATACCATAATTTGATCCGGAATTCTTTACAATATAATAAAAGTTTAGCTTAATTTCTGGGACTTATCTGCTAGTGTAGGTTTTTCATTATTTCATGGACTTTCTGAGAAACTTTTTCCCCTCAAAACTGCAAAAAGTTTTCGGTTATGTCTTTTTTTTTCTTAGTTTAAACAATAATTGTTTATTATCTGAGTGATAAAAAAATATCAAAAAATATTATGTAAAGAATTTTATTTTTTAAAAAAGATAAGATTGCAAATTCAGTGAATAGTTTGAATTTTGTTCTTTTTACTTTTATTGTACATTTATTATAAATATGTAAATAATATTATTTAGTATTTATTCCTCGAATCCAAATAAAATGTTTAAGTTATTGTGCAATATTGTAACATTTTATTGTTTAATACAACTTTTATAACAATGTTTAGCAGCAACAACGCACAGGGGAAATTTTCCCTACTTAAATCATTTTTGTTTAATCTCGAGGAATAATTTGCACAAATGTGTTTGGTATATTTTTAGAGTAAGTCAGCTTCAAATATACTAGCAACGAATATAATGTAAATAAATGTAATAAAATTCCTCTCTAATTTTGTATTCAATTTAGAAGTTTGTAGAATTCATGATTAATTCATTACAATAATTTTGCAAACAATTTGTAAACTCACAATTTAAAGCATGAGATCATTAAATTATCATAACCAATTTTTGAATTGTTTCTGAAAAGATTTAGTAACTAAATGAGCTAACTTCATTTGTAGAAATTACAAATATTTTTACATAAATTTTATACTTAAACATTTAGATAATGTTGTTTCGATATAATTTGAAAATATGTTTTTAAGTATAGATACAAATCTATTTTAGAATATTATTGTGAAAAATATGGTTCAAATTTTTGAAAATGGAAACCAAAAATTGTGTCTGTAAATTATACAAACTCAATTTTGTAGAAATTTTACATTTTATAATTTATTAGATATACTGTCATTTAAAAATATTTTTTTAAATGCAATAGAATCAGTCGTATTTAAAATATTTTTGTCATAGTTGGTTGTTGCTAACTAGAATTAAACTAGGCTATTGATAAAAAATGTGTATGTTAGAATTGCCTTCATAGTTATCACTGCATATTAGCACACCATCTCAATGTCGCAGGTTGTACAAGTTTATGCCTTAGTCATTATAAATATTCCTCATTGATTTCAATATGGTGATATTTTATTTTAGGACATATTTGAATTTTAAATGTTTCTAGATTATATGTGTAAAATGAATATTTATTTTTTGTACTATTGTATTGAAGTTTTAATTATTCGTAAAAATCAACTTTTTTACGAGTTATTAAATATTGTTCTTCGAAACTACATTTTTGAATAATATTGTTT